TAAAAATCTTGTCAGTATTAAATAATCTATCGAGTTTAATATGCCACAAAACAAAATAAACCAAACTATATATTTCTGAAAAAAATATTACCAGTTATACATTTTTGAAAAAATTACCAGCTATACCTTTTGGAAAAAAAAGAAAAGAAAATTTTATCGGCATTAAATAACCTATTGTGGTGTTGATATGCCGTAAAACAAAACAAACCAAACCAATCCTGTTCTTTTATTGTCCTCTCTCACAATAATGTTTTTTTTATCATATTCTTTAAGACGCATAAACCCTTATATCTTAGTGGCTTTACTGTCTTGCTTGAGGTAAAATGATTAAAAATGTTTCCAGCACGCATATGTGTACACACTAACCTCATATATATATATATATATATATATATATATATATATATATATATATATATATATATATATATATATATGTATGTATGTGTGTGTGTGTGTGTGTATACTGTATATATGTGTGTATATATATATTTCTCCTCTTAAAACTCCGCACAAACGAACATGTTCATCGTCACACCTCACGCACAGGCAAACTAATATCAATACAGAGGCACACACAGAAAACATGCATATATATATATATATATATATATATATATATATATATATATATATATATATATCAAACGGCCTTTTTACTTTAGTCCATACCACTAATTTCATCAGAGCCTCTCTTCCGTAATCGATGTCACAAGAAATTGCTGTTCTGAACAAATGAGCCGGAAGTGGCCGACGTGGCGTCAGGCGGATCAGTCACGTGACCGTTATTATTAGATAAACAAGAGCGATATATACAAGTTATGTTTTCCTCAAATCTTCTCTCCCTCTTTCTCTTTCTCATTTCATCATCTCCTTAGCTTACTTTGTCTCTCTCTCTCTTTCTTAATCAAGTTCTCTCCATACCATTCGCTCTCTCTCTTTCTCTTTCTTTTCTCTCTCTCTCTCTCTCTCTCTCTCTCTCTCTTTCTCCCTTTATGATTTCTATGCCTCTCTATTTTTCTCCGTTCTTTTTCTTGATGAACTTCCATCCGTCTTTCTTTTTTCCGTTTTGTTCTCTCTACGCTTTTCATCAAACCCTTTCCTCCTCCTCCTCCTCCCCCTCTCTAGTCGTATTTCATTTGTTGATACTTCCTCTCAATTTTTTCCGTTTTCTTTTTCTTCTCTCTCTATATCTTTTTCTTTTTTTATAGTCTTCTTTCTACCTTACTTTGTTCTTCTCTAGTTCTTTTATACTTTCATCTCCACTTCACCCGTCTCCTACTTTTAACCATTTCTTCCTCTTCTCTTTTTTCATCGACTTCTCTCTTCCTCCAACTTTCTCCACACTTATGTCTTCCATTTTTAGCAACCTCCTCTCCTTTTTCTTTTTTCTTTGTCTTTTTTCTTTCGCTTCCACTTCTCTCTTTTCATCAACTCCTCCCGTCTTCCATCTTTTCCCATAGGCATGTCTTCTATTTTAACAACTTCCTCTCTAGATTTATTCTTTTTCTCTTCCCTTTCTCTTCTCTTTCTCTTCTCTTTCTTTATCGTCTGCTATCCCACACTTTCTCTTTCTCTCTCTCTCTCTTCTCTCTTAATTTTCTTCATTCTACAAGTTTTCTTTCTTTTTTATAATCTTCTCTCTGCTTTGTTCATTCTCTTTCTCGTTCGTTTGTAGGTCCGTGCCTACTTCACTCCTGTTCCACTCCTTCTGTCTTCTCTTCCTCTTCTTTCTTTTCCGGGTCGGCTTTTCGCCTCTGTCTTTTTTTTTCTCTATTCATAATCTCCTTTCTACATCTCTCTTTCCCGCTTTCCTTCATCTTTTTTTCTTTTCGCATTCACTTCAACCTCTCTCCATCTCTCCTCTCTTTCTATTCTCATTACTTCTTCCTTCTCCCTCTCTCCTCCATTACTTCTTTAATCCCTTTTTTTACCCCCTCTGGCTTACGGCCATATCACGTTGAAACACTAGTTCTCATTCGATTACTGACGTTAAACAACGTCGAGCCTGCTCAGTATCTAGACGGGTGACCGTTTGTGAACGCTGTATGCTTGGATGTGCGTCTGTTGCAATGGATAACGACTTCTAATTGAAAATCAGATAACCGAGTTCTAATTCCAGTCGGGTTCATTATATTTACTTACGCGTAAATATCCTTGGGAAAAGTATAATTATACCTCTTATTCCTCCCCCACCAACAGCAATGGGTTAATTTGTTGAACTTGTTTCCGTAAAATGCATTTTTATCTCCCCGCCACCTCAAAAATTATTACGATCTAAAAATATTTTCTTGCTTTAAATAACCTGCGAAAGGGTGATACACCGTAAAAAATAGATCAGTGAATACCTCTTCACCTGTCCATCTCTCTTCTATTTCTGCTTTTTCTCGTTTTCGCTTTGCTCTTTAATTTTTCATCAGCAACTTTCTTCACTTCCGCTTCTGTCCGATTTTCTTATCAGTTCTTTCTCTGCTTATGTCGTCTTCGTCTCTTTTCCCGAGTGAAAGCATTATTTTATGACTTGCATATCGATCAAAACCACCACATATCCAAGAAATTAAGAAACATCTATAACATCATCAAGAAAGGAAGGTAATGTCGAAACACTATACCAAGAATAAACGTCATCATTTCTCGTCCTAATTCAAGGTTTAATTTATTTATATCACAGACGTTTATTTATTGACGACAACTGTGCGATAACACTGGTCAACAAAAAAAATGAAATAGTGTTGAGAGCCCAAATATCTTTTTTAGCTAATTTGAAGGCGCTGAATATGAAAAGGACCTTACTTAATCTTCATTACCTACCGTTTTTGCTGTACAGAAATACCTCATTTTGGAGAAAAAATCATTTTTTTTCATTAGTTTTTTGTATATATGATATTGAACGATGGCAATATTTCTCAAAATAAAATAATAGAAACCTCTCAGTTTGTCTTTGAACCAACAAATATTGCTCTGCTTATTGAGAAATACTATTTTTGTAATAAAAATCCGACCCTAAGTCTTTAAAAATAACACGATTGAATATACCAAGACCAACAACTTTCTTCAAATCATTTAATAAACTAACAGCAGAAATAAAACCTCCGAGAAGATAAGAACTATGGTAAAAATTTTCTCTTGATTGTCTGCCACGTTCAATGTTATTTAAGTTCCTTTTGTTACTCCAGCAGTTTCATGTACAATGAAATAGGTGATTCAATTGAGATGTCTTTAGTTGGAGTTTCTTTCCAACTGTGAAAACAAAATGCTTTCACTGTGCTCAGTTTCCTTCCGTAGTGAAGCGATAAATGTAATGGGATAAATTTATGAATATCAAACAAAAGATTTTAGGGTGCCATTTTTTTTTGTCACCTTAATTATCAGCTTTACTAAAGTGTATTACTGATAAACATTATCCGTTAATTTAAATTTTGGCAATAAATTGGAAAAAATTGGTATTTCTATTTTAAAATTTTTGAATCAAAAATACGTTTTTTCTTATAAAAATAGTTTATTTCAGGTGGCTGGCACAAATTTCTCGGCCTACCTGAAAAATGATGGGTTTCTTGGAACTAAATTTTGCAATCAGTCAAGGTCGTAAATTGATCTTTTTTTTTTCCAAAAATAAGTAAATTCAGTACAGCAAAAGCGGTTGGCGACCATGAAAAACTAAGGTGATTTTCAGAATCAGCACCGTCAAATTAGCTAACAAAACATATTTTATTTCCTGGCATCAAAAACCGTGTTGACTAGTGTAATGAAACAGGAAGGTAAGGTATTCTGAATTGAACATTTTGCTGACTGGACAACCAAACATTGTGCCTTCTCAGAATAAACATTTTTGCTGCCATGTTATGGAAACATTATATTGAATCAATTTCCGGGCCTGCTGTTAGGAAAGACGGTTCCCCCTGCTTGAGAATCTTTCTCGACCTAATCTATGTTACATATTTGTAAGACTACCATTTGTCCTTGCTTTGAATACAGCTTCCACATCTGGCCTGGTGCACCTGCTATATATTTAGAGATTCTTGATAAAATCCAAAGAAGAATCTGCAATGTTATTTTTCCTAACTTGGCATCTCATTTTCAGTCCCTTTACCACCGACTTGACTTTCTATTTATATGTCTATCATTAGCCCTTTCTTTGAATGTTGCTGCTACTTCTGGTCCAGTGCTCGTCATATATATTTAAAGACTCTTGATAAAATCCAAAGAAGAATCTGCAATGTTAATGGCCCTGACGTGGGATCTCGGCTTCAGTCACTTTCCAACCTCCGTCATATAGCTTTCTCGTGAATTATCTATAAATAATTTCATAGTATTTGTATTAATTACCCTTCCTCTATGGTTGCGATATTTAATGAATTTAAGCGCAGTACTAGATGTTCTCATCATTTTAAAATTGAAATCTCTAGATGAAACCGTAAGTTCTATGGTAACAGTTTCTTCTATCGCACTTCTCGCTTGTGGAACTCTCTTTACGATATCCCACTTCCCAGTTAAATTTGATCTTGAAAAATTTAAATGCAAATATCAGTCGTTATCTGTTGTCTTCCTAATTCATTTTCTGTTCATTTTCTTTATAGTGTGTTTTCTCTCTATCATATTCTAACAGAATAATACCCTTGAGTTTAAGGACTTTATTGCCTTGCTTGGGTGAAATGATTAAAAATAAAGGTTTTGAGAAAAGTAAACATGACAACTATCTCTAACAACATGGCGTCAAAAGGGGCAATTATTGGAGTAATTTAAAACCTTAAACAAAAATCATCAAGACTTTATGATGACTTAACGAAAGAAACTGAAGTTTAATATCTACGCAAAGAACATTTAAAAAGGGTGAAAAGGATTACGTATGACATGCATTTCTATCAAAATTATTGCAAAATAGATATCCTTATGGCGGCGCTCTCTAGGTATCTATCCTTGTGCCTACATTTTTTTTTCTAATGGTCATCAACGACACTCCGGATGTCACCATATCCACCTCAGTTTTTACGTTGATAAGTAAACGATTTACTGATATCTTAAATATTACGTCGTATACGTCCAACAAATAAATATTACGTTGCCTAGGTTCAATAAATAAATGTTACGTCGTATAGGTCCAACAAATAAATATTACGTCGGATAGCTTCAGCAAATAAATATTACGTCGTATAGGTTCAACAAACAAATATTACGTCGTATAGGTTCAGTAAATAAACATTACGTTGTATAGGTTCAAAAAATAAATATTACGTCGTATATGTTCAACAAATAAATATTACGTCGTATACGTCCAACAAATAAATATATTACATCGTATACGTTCAACAAATAAATATGTCGTATAGCTTCAGCAAAAAAATATTAAGTCGTATCGGTTCAACAAACAAATATTACGTCGTATACGTTCAACAAATAAATATTATGTCGGATAGGTTCAACAAATAAATAATACGTCGTATAGCTTCAGCAAATAAATACTACGTCGTATAGGTTCAACAAACAAATATTACGTCGTATACGTTCAACAAATAAATATTACGTCGTATATGTCCGACAAATAAATATTATGTCGGATAGGTTCAACAAATAAATAATACGTCGTATAGCCTCAATAAATAAATATTACGTCGTATAGGTTCAACAAACAAATATTACGCCGTATAGGTTCAAGAAATGAATATTACTTGTTTATGTTCAACAAATAAATATTACGTCGTATATGTCTAACAAATAAATATTTCAACGAAAAGGCCGAACAAACAAATATTACGTCGTATAGCTTGAACAAATAAACAAATGCGTCGTATAGGTCCAGCAAATAAATATTACGTCGTAGAGCTCCAGTAAATAAATATTACGTCGTATAGGTCCACCAAATAAATATTAAGTCCAACAAAGTAAAACTGGTGGCTGCTCTAGATTAAAAATTAAGTCATGAACTTTATTATTTTAAATTTAACGATTGTTGACTTTTTGTGGCTTATCAACATTTGGTGGGTCATATATAACAGAGACATATTTTGAATTGTAAGAATAATCTTTATTGCCAAGTGAATATTGCATTAACAATGGCATTTAATATAGAAATTTGCACACTAATACCTTTAATTAATCGAAACAAGCAGAAAGGTTGTTACCATAAATAGAAAAAAAGACATTTTTTTTTTAAAGCAAGAGAAAATTAAGCTAGCAGTTTCGGTTCACATCAGCAGTACGTACCAGAAGCATCTAATAGATTTTGGTTTTTATAGATTATATTTTTATTTGGAACATATCGCTGTCTTCCGAAAATCAAACACTGGTGGAAAAATAGTTTTGTATGAGGAAAATTACAGCTACTACTAACATAAGAAAAACGCCGTTGAAAAAAAACAACATACTGGCGATGTGTAAAGCAATCTTGCAAAATTGCGTACTTTTGGTAATTTTTTGAAGCTTTTAAAGGCAATTACTATTTTTAAAAAAAAAAGCATAAGAAGTAATCATAAATTTTTTAAAAGGAATAAAAAAATTAAATTAAAAAAATTTAAATTTTATTTTTTTTTAAAAAATAAACTTTTATTTTTTTTAATTTTATTAACAATCCGTCATTGGATTTTTTTTTAAATAAACTTTTTTTTTTTTTAATTTTATTAACAATCCGTCATAGCATTTTTTTTAAAAAAAAACAACTTTTTTTTAAATTTTATTAACAATCCGTCATAGCATTTTTTTTTTTTAAATAAAGTTTTATTTTTTTTAATTTTATTACTTTTATTCCTTTTAAAAAATTTATCATTACTACTTATGCTTTTTTAAAAAAAATATGATAATTGCGTTTAAAATCTTCAAAAAATTATCAGAAGTACGCAATTCTCCAGGGACGCAAATATCAAGTGACACAACTCTCTGGTACGCACGTGTTCTAGAACCTATTACAACACATGCAAACAGAAGAGGTTTTAAGAAAACGCATTGTATGAGCATTTTTGTTTTGGCTTCCGCAGTGGGACCAATTTACATTGAATTTATATAGTAAACTTCACTCTTATATTAAATGTTATTTTAAGTTATTATGTTTAGTCCCAATGCTTATTGCATGTTATTACAGATATATAATTTCTAAGCGCTGAGATAAACCCAAAATCACAGCCTTTTTCTTCAAATAAATCTTTTTTGGAGATAATAAAGATTTCGTGATACAAATTGTACTAATTAACTCATAAATGGGGGTGAGAAGTTGTGGACTCATACCTTTACCAAGGCTATTCGCGTGTAAGTGAATATAATGAACCCAACAGAAATTGGAACTTCGTTCTCCGATTAAAAATTCAAAGTCGTTATCCATTATACTTCCCGCACATCCAAGCTTACTGCATCTGGTAAGCTTGGATGTGCGGGAGGTATAATGGATAACGACTCTGAAAAACGAAAAAGCAAGCGGTCACCCATCTAGATACTGACCAGGCTTGACGTTGCTTAACTTAGGTAATCGTACGGGAACTGGCGTTTCACTGCGATATAGCCGTAAACTTTAAG